AATCCTGAGAAGAATTTTATCATTTATAAAAATAATTGAATTCTTGCGAATAATTTTATTAAAAATTATGAAATTAATAAACAAGAATAATTAATTAGTAAATTAGTTAATAATTGAATTTTTTTAAAGTTTGAATCTGAAATTAATCAAAAATTCATATTTGAAATTTAAAAAATTTTGTAATTTGCAGAATAATAATAAATTGAATATCACATTCCGCCCTCTATCACACGTAATATTTGATACTTGAAAATATTTAAATAGAGAAATTATTAAAAAAAGTTAGGAAACAAGAAAGCAAGCAACAACTAACTTCAAACTGGGAACAGATTATCGGAATACAACGATTATTAATATAGAAGATTTGAATTGAATGAAATATTTCCACTTCCAGATTAATACTTGTGTCTTGGTGCATTATTTGAGTGCAAGAAACGCGACTAAAGAGCTCCGTTTAGCGAAGCATTATATTACGCGCATGCATGTGGCTTAATGAGCCGATATAATGTGTATATATATGTATATTATTGTGCACGATATATTACGCAACTAACTATTTTGTAATTATAGACAAGAGGTATAAAAGGTGACAGAAGTGGAGGTGCATGTATTATATATAGCGGAAGAAAGAAAATGTACATATTACCCAGAGAGTACATGTATAAGTGAAAGAGAAGGAGAGTATAGTTCGGGAACAGAATATGTACCTACGCTACTATACCTCGATAATACCTTGAAGTGTTTGAGTCATGGAACGCCCCCGCTAGTCGTATACTAAACCGAACCGGAGGAACGAGGCAAATCAAGGAACAAGAGATCGAGAGGAGCTCTCAGTACGAGATTGGTACGAGATCGGTACCACGTCCCGCAAATCGTACCGTTTCTCTTCTATCTTTTCGCAATTATTCATAAAAGAAAATAATTTTCTCTACTTTAATATACAAGTACCTGTATTTGTATTTTTAAGGTACAAATTTCTTTTTCTCTTTCGTAAAAAAAAGTTCTTTCATTTTTAATTCTCATCTTGAGTTTTCGAAATTTTCATTTTTTTTAAAATGGTTTCGTGTGGATTTATTTTGTTTCGAATAGTGTTTCGATTATAAGTTTAGGACGAACTGAAGAAAGCAGGATCTTATACAACGATCTCTTTGCATCATTTGCCTTTTGCTTGGAACTTTTACTCGTGTACTTGAATCTTTTGTTGAGACGAAGAGTTCATGTGATGTGGAATATTTTTGTAAAAATCTAATTTTTTATTTCAATTTTTGTGTCAACGTTTTCGTAAATAATTACATGGAAAATTGTGTATCAGGATCAGTTTTTTTTCTGTTTTGATATTGAAATATTTTTCATGTATTTAGTTGGATTTTTCAAGTGCGAGAAATTTCAAATTTCGCCGAAGGAAATTTTCAGTGGCAATGTCACTAACGAAGTTATTAATTAGGCCGAATTAAAACTGATTGAATATAATACACACCACAAAGCAATATCTTCGGATCGAATTTCGTGTTCATATTTAAACGAGTTTGTTAAAGTAATTGAAGCACCAGTCGAAAATGCAGAACAAGGGGAATATTTCTTTAAAATTATTTGTTTCCTTGTCTCTTTGAAAAGAGCCTTTCTTGCAATGTCGCAGATTTTTTCTACTTAAATTACGAGTCAGTTTTCATTTTTCCACATTTTAGTTTTGTTTACTTATTCATTTTTATCTTTTCAAAATTATATTTTATCGCTTTTTAATTAATTCATTTTTTATTATTTCTTTATTATTTCTTTATCTTTTCTTTATTATTTATTGTTAATTTATTTTTTAATTATTATTTCTTTATTATTCGTTTATTTATGTCATACGACTTAAAAGAGACATTATTTGAATCATAATACCAATTCGTTAAAATAGATTTAATTATACAGTGAAAGGTGTAACCATAAAATAATGCTAATAGTGAGGAATGAAAATTCGAATTATGAAAATTGACAAATTTCACGAAGCAAAAATGAATAATTATGACAATTATATAACAATAATTGCGGGTGATAAAAGTTACAAGACTTTAAAAATTATTATTATGTAAATAATTTAATGATGACAATATTTCAACAATGAAAGAAAATATCTTTAGAAATTTACAATATATTTGAACAAATGGGAACAAATGAGCAAACATTATGGAAGCGCAATTAAAGAACAAATAACTCGCTGAAATAATCAATTTTTTAAATCTACAAGTTTTCTATTCAAACGATATCGTTAGTAATTTGTGTAACAAGACAAATTTAGACAAAAATTTCAAAATTATATACAGTATTTACTTTTTTTCGTTGAATAATTTAAAACTTTTTAGGAAAATTATTAATTCTTTTTAATAATTCTCAATAAAATCAATATTAATTATTATTGATGATTAATAATCTTACATAAGACGTTTTATAAGAAAAATTGAAAATATTTTTATTTAAAAAAAATGATAGATTAATTACGCTTATCAAAGGTCTTTACTCCTCCAGAATGTGAATATTTGATTTTCAATTAGATATTATGAGAAATTTGCATCTTAAATGTGGTTCTAAACACATTGCGAGTTTCAACTCTTAGCACTGGAGAAAGATCTTTAATTCCCCTCTCCCTTGCCGCACGATTAATGTTAGTCGTGTTTTACCTTCGTTTTACTGCCCACTTTTTGACCTCTTTCAATATAGTTTAGGAACAATACACTATTTCACTTTGAATTCAATTTCCAATCTTGAAAAATTGACTATTCTGAGTCTATAAATATCGCAATTGAAAGCCGCGTTTTTTTCGCACTCAAATATTTGTCCGATAGTAATGATTAATAGTTTAATAGTATTGTTATTTTTAGATTATTTCAAAGTTATTATAAATAGTGAGTAATTATTGATTCTAAATGTGCAATAATTATTCACGAATGGATTGTTTTAATTTATTGGCAATTAATAATTCAATATTCTATCTTCTTCTATATTAATAATCGTTGTATTCCGATAATCTGTTCGCTGTTTGAAGTTAGTTGTTTGCTTTTTTGTTTCTTAACTTTTTTAATAATTTTTCTTTTTAAATATTTTCAATTTTAAAATTATTGTATTGAAAGTCATCGAATTATTGCAAAGAATTTTATCAAAAAATTTGATAATACTAGAATTTCTTCAAAGAATTTTATTATTTAGGAAAATAATTGAATTCTCGTGAATAATTTTGTTAAAATTTTTTAAAATTCTAATTAAATTTTTTTTGAAGAATTTCTTTTAATTTTTTTTTTAAATAATTGAGTTTTTTGAATAATTTTAATTTGAAAATTTTGAAAATAATTGAATTAAATAAAGAATTTTCTTCAATTTTCTTAAATAATCGTGTGTGTTAATAATTATAATGCAATATTTGATTTTTGAAGTTTATTAAAACTATATTGAAAATAATTGAATTTCTGAGAAGAATTTTATTCTTTATAAAAAATAATTTAATTCTTTCGAAAAGTTTTATTAAAAATTTTAAGAAAATTGAATTGTTGCGTAGGATTTATTAAAAGTTTAGAAAATAATTTAATTTTTTTGAAAAATATTATGGAAAATTAAAAAAATTTTAATTATTTTAATTATTTTAATAATTAAAATTAAATTAAAAATAATTTAATTTTTGCAAAGAATTTTACTATTTATAAGTATAATTGAATTGTTTCGAAGGATTTATTAAAAGTTTAGAAAATAATTGCATTTTTTCGAAAAATATTATTAAAATTTTTTTAAAAATCCAATTCTTTCATGAAATGTTTTTATAATAGTATTTTACTATTTATAAATATAATTGAATTGTTTCGAAGAATTTATTAAAATTTTAGAAAATAATTTAATTCTAATTGAAATTTTTTCTATAACAAACGAATTAAGAAAAAAATTGAATTCTTTCGTGAAATGTTTTTTGAAAATAATTGAATTTTTGCAAAGATTTTATAACAAAATAAGAAAAAAATTGAATTCTTTATTAAAATTTTAGAAAATCATTGTATTCGTTCGTGAAATGTTATTAAAATTTTGTTAAATAATTGAATTCCTGAGAAGAATTTTATTATTTATAAAAATAATTGAATTATTACGAAGAATGTTATTTCAAAATAAAGTAGTTTTTGAATAATTTTAATTGGAAATTTGCAAATTAATTGAATTAAACAAAGAATTTTTTTCAAATTTTAAAAATAATCGTGTTTGTTACAAATTATAATGAAATATTTCATTATTCAAGTTAATTAAAATTGTATTCAAAATAATTGAATTTCTGTGAATAATTTTTTTTATTTATAGAAATAATTTAATTCTTGAGAAGAATTTTAATATTTTTAAAAATAATTGAATTGTTTCTAAGAATTTATTAGAAGTTTAGAAAATAATTAAATTCTTTTGAAAAATTTTATTAAAAATTGGAAAAAATTTAATTAAATCTTTTCTTGAAATTCTATTAAAATTGTATTGAAAATAATTGAATACTTCCGAAAAATGTTATGATTTATGAAAATAATTGAAATTTTGTGAATAATTCAATCACAATTTTTGAATATAGGAGTTGAATTCTTTAAAGAAATTGTATTTAAAATTCTGAAAAATTTGTTTCTAAATTCTATAAAAAGAAATTTAATTTTTCAAGAATTTTTTTTTTTTAAATTGACATGTAATTAAATTTTTATAAACAAATTGTAACATTTTTTAATTTTTATAGAATATAATTTAATATTTTTCAAGAAATTTCTTAAAAATTTTGAAAATAATTGAATTTTCAATATAAATTTTACAGTCAACTTTAGAAATAATTGAATTTTGGAATTATAATTGAAATTTCTTAAGTTTTAAAGAAGATATTTGAATATCTTAAATTTTGTAATTTGCATAAAATAATAAATTGACTACCACGTTCCGCGCGTAACATTTTCTAGTTTACAATGTAAAACGAAACGATTTACAATACTTATAATTGATATTTTTTTCTTTTGCAGAAAATTGAAAAGCGATTTCCAATATTTGAGACGGCGGGGCGCATTCAAAGCTTCGGGGGAGAATTTGTATCAGGGACGTAAATGCGCCAGATGTGGAGTGTCATTTGGTAGATTTTACAATACTGGAGCTGTTTGTCAACGTTGTAAACATCGTGTGTGTAGACAATGTCGAGAAATACAGAACGTCAATGAGAACAATAAGGGGACAATCGGTATCGATTGGTTGTGTTCAGTTTGCCATAAACTTGCGTAAGTTGAGATATATGTTCATTAAATTTTATTGCCCGTAGAGAATAATGGCAATATCCATATTCATTAAGTCATTAATTTCACGATAGTGATAGTAAAAATAAAATACTATACACTCAAATGTAAATGATGTGAATTTTTCTCTTCAGAAAATTACACACGAACACTGGCGAATGGACGTTTGAGAACTCGATCGTGAAGCACATTGCCGGAAGGGAAAATTCTCTGTCGCCTCTTGATATCCTCAAATACAGTATCCGTCGTGCCTGGACCATAAATGGTAATTTCCTGCTACTAGAGTAAAAAAAAAATCGCTTCCTCCTGAATCAAAATTTTCATAATTGTTTATACAAATCTCTTTCGAATCTATATTTTCCTTTAGCAAATTTTCTTTCGACTATTAAATATTTAAAATATATATATTATTTACAGTGATAAATTATTTCTCTATAACCTTTTTTTTATTCTTTTTTGCAGGACCACCAGCGCAATGGCCAGGAGCGAGAAAGTCGCCCGAGTTTAGAATCTATCGAAGTCTACCAATTCGTTCTCAAAACTTTTACGGCGATCACGAGGATCATTATAGTGTAGAATCAACGACTATTGAGGACTTGAAAAACAACGAGAACGAAATTCGTGACGATGAGGATTGTACAAAAAAGAATTTGCACTTTGCAGACAATGAGAGTGGTAATAAATTGTTAACGCAAATCGATGGTAATAATGAGCGTGTGAATTTGAAACGTAATGAAAAATCAAATAAATGTTTGATTACGGGGAAAAATCGAAAACAAGAACAAATTGTTGGTTTGAGTGGAAAATCGAGAACTGATAGTGTTGAGGTGATTTCACCAGATCAAAGTACACGTGTTTCTTTAATAAAACCACCACGATTGTTTGCAAAATTCACAAGTTCTGAGGTGAAATCGCCCATTAATCAGACGGAGAAAAAATCCAATATTCCAATATTTCGAAGGAGTTCCAAGGAATTTGAGGATATCAAAAGTCCACAGGAGTCGCCGAAACGATCGTTGATCCCTCAGAGGTGAGTGGAAATTAAAAAATTTTCTTTATTACAAAAATAGGTCATTCTTTGCTATTTTCTCTTAATTTTATTCTATTTTTATTTTTTGAATTCATATTTTAAGCATTCCTAAAATTGTGAACTTTAAAATGAACGAAATTTATTTCTTTGTGAAATTAAAATTTTATTACAATAATATTGAGTCACGTATAAAAGGATAAATTATAAAGTATCTAAATATAAAATTTAAGTTTTTAATTCTTATTGCAATCAGTAATATAAAACCTCGGTTAGTTTGACTTTTCGGACATTTTTCAATTTGTTTTCGACTTATTTTCAAAACATGCGACTTTTTCGACTTTTCTTTCAAATATTGTAACAAAATACCACTTTTTTGGTATAAAATGAAAATTACTTTGTTTTTTGTAGTGTAAAAAATAACTAGTGAAATATTTGAAAATTTAATTTTGATTAATTTTTTTGTAATAAGTATTTCATTAAAATGTTTGAAATTGAAATTTTGAAAAATTTTAATTGCAAATTTTAAAAGTAATTAAATTCTCAGATTGTAATGAAAAATCAAAATGAAAATTAGCTCAAAAAAGTATAATAAGAAATTATTTTTAAGAAAGTAATTCTATAAACATTTTTTTATTATAATTTTTTTAAATTCATAATTATTTTCAATAGTTTCAATTAAATATTTCCGAAAATTCAAATATCGACAAAAATAATCATTAAAATTGTTTAAAGAAGCTTTTTTTAGAATTATTACTAATATTTTGTTAAAAACAATTATTTACAAAATTTTTAATTAAAATTTTGCAAAAAATTGATTAGTTTTTAAATTGTCTCAAAATTCTTTTGAGAAATTTCGGAAAATTATTAAAAATAATCGATTTAGAGAAGTTTAGTTAAACATTTTTTAAAATAATTAAATTTTGGAAGAATTGCAGTTTTAATTTTTGAATAACTGAATTAAGAAATCAGTGAAAGATCAGAGAAATAGAAAATGAAATTTTTTTGACAAAATTAAATGAAGTAAACGACTTTTAATCCCTTTTTCCAAATGTTTAATCGACCAAAGCAACTTTTTTATGCCTTAAAGTCGATTTGATGCTTGGAATATTTGAAAATTTTTTTTAATGAAAAATATTTTCTTTATTTAAACTTGTGGATCATTATTTTGAAAAAATAATTAAATTTTACTGCTAATTTTTTAATGTATTTGTAATAGTTTTTAAATAATAATTGAATTCACAATTCATTGACGAAAACAGTAATTGAATTTTCAAAGAACCAAATTGAAAACAATATTTGTTTCAACAATAATTGAATTTAAAAGTAAAGATTAGAAAATAATTAAATTAAAAAGAACGAATTTTTGCAACAGTGGAAAATTTAAAATAATAATTCAATTTTGTATCAAAGAATTAATAGGGTAAAATAATGATTTTGATTTCTTTGTAAAAGAATTGTGAAAAAAAAATAAATTCAATAATTGAAAGATTATAGAAGAGAAAGAAATCCAAAAAAATAACATGACTTAGTGTAACATATTTTTATATTATTATTTTTATTTTCAGATATAGAGGAAGCACTGACGATCTAAGAAGAAGCAGAGAAGACATCAGTATTCCGAGTTTCATTCCAAAATTATTGCCATCAAGATGTAAGGAGGAAAAATTGAAACGTCAAGACAGTAAGGACGATATTCGTCATATCGCTGGATCAAATCGACGACAGAAGGATGTGGTAAAGGACGAAACAAAGCCATCGCCTTGTCAGAGTTATTCGCGAGACGATGTCAAAGGAGTGAGATTTTTTCGACGTGAAAGCAAGGAGGACGTAGGCAGGGAGAGCACCACCACTATTACGAACAGCTGCGTGACCAAAGAAAGGCCGTTGTGTAAGAAAGAGTTATGGAAAGAGTTATGGACCGTGGAATGCGTGGGTGATACGACGACTCGACCAAAATCAAGTTTAAGTGAATTTGAATTTAAAGAAACCATAGAAAACGAATTGGCAGTTGTTGTTACAAGTCAGCATGAATTGAATGAAATTGAAAATAATCAAATTTGTAATGAAGATAATAATTCTGCTTTTTTCACAATAATGGCAAATGAATTGAAAACTGAAGATCGACTCGATGAGGAAAATGCTGTGAAATTAAATAAAAGTGAGGATAAAAATGCCGACAAGAATGAATACGATGAGGAGAAAATTAAGGAGAAAAAAGTTTCAGTCGAGAAGAAATTTGTCGAAGAGGAAAAGAGTGAAGATACAATGGATTTTAAGAGTTTTGAACTTAATCGAGAGGAATCGATTGCTGCCAGTGATGCTAATCTTATTCCGGTAACTTTGAGTGAAATGAAAATTGTGCCGGATATCACGAGTTCTGGGAAAAAATGCGAAGACTTCCAAGTGGTTCGTTTTGCAATTTTCTCCTATTTTCTTTTTTCTTAATGAAAGAATTTTCCAATTTTGTGTTATCTTTATATTTTTTCTGTATTTCTTTATTTTTACACCCTTTTTATTTTATATATTTAGGTATTCTTTCTTTCTAGTTATTTTTTTTTATATTTCACTTTTTTATTTTAATTTTCTGTTTTTTCTTACCTACTTTTTTTATTCTTATTCATTTTATATTTTACTTGCACGTTTTGTATTTACTTTTCGTAAATACAAAACAAATGTGTAAGTAAAATATAAAATGAATGAAAAATTAAATAATTGTAATAATAATAATTTTTATAATAATTTTTTTTTTGTACAAATTAAATTGTGCAAAATTTATTAATAATTACAAAAAATTGTTTTTCACAGATCCGAAGAAAATTTTCAAAAGAAGAATTTTCGAATCCTGATGACACTGACGATATTCCCAACAGACGTTGTTCAAGTGTAAGATGACTTTTTGAAATTTAAAATTTAAAAATTTGAATTATAATAATTATTTTTTTGATTAGACATTGAAAATATTGTTTGAATGTATATAATTTACAGCATCTTTCGCCGGAGGCAAGTCCTTTAAGTACAAGATCATCGAAGTATAGTCCAAGGGAAAGTGAGAGTGAGCCAACTCCTGCATTACCGAGGAGAACTGGAGGCGGTGATTCTTCTTCTGCATCACAAAGAATACGTGACACTATCACGAGGACGAGAAGAGAATCTAATAGTAGTGCAAGATACGAGAGCAGTGGAAGCGAAAGTGTTAGGTAATATATCAATTTATTCAATACATAATATATAATTTTTCTATTTTGGAGTAACATTTCTTATTGAATATATATTATGCTTTAGAATTGAAAAGGATTTCAAATCTCGTTGAATCATGATTATAAATTGAGATTTAATATTTTGTAGTGACGTATTTTAAAAAAATACTTTTAAATAGTTGTTGAATTCAGACTTTTAAAATTATAGGTAATCATTATTAATTACAATATTAAGGCGGAAATTTTTTTCCATTAAATTAATAATAATTGCTAGACTAAAGACAAACTTTTCTTATTTATTTATTATTTAAACTTATAATCTAACGTCATAAATATCAAATTTTAATTATTATTCGCAATTTGAAGTTAGTTGTTGTTTCTTTTTTTCTTGTTTCCTAACTATTTTAAGAATTTTTCTTTTTAAATATTTTCAATTTTAAAATTAATGTACTGAAAATCATCTAATTGTTGCAAAGAATTTTATCAACAAAATTTATAATTATAAAATTCGCAAAGAATTTTGATAAAATTTTTGAAAATTCTAATTAATTTCTTTTTGAAGGTTTTTTTTGAATTTTTTAAAAATAATGAAGTCTGTATTAAAAATTTTTGAAAATAAATAAATTTGATGAACAATTTCTATTAAGTTTTAAAAATAATCATGTCCCTAAAGTTTTGAACGTTCAAATGAACAAAATTTATTTATTTCTTCTTTAATTTAAAATTTTTATTCCAATAATATTGCGTCTAGTATTAGAAAAATAAATTATAACAATTTTAACTGTTCAATTTCATTTTTGCTTCTTATAAGGCAATAATTTTTGAAAATTTTTATATTGATAAAAAGAATTCGTTCATTTGAACGTTCAGAACTCGTGGATCATAAATAATCGTGTTTCTTAATACATAATTGAAATTATTAATTATTGAATTTTATTAAAATTTGAGAAAATAATTGAATTCTATTGAAAAATTTTACTATTTATAAATATAATTGAATTGTTTCGAAGGATTTATTAAAATTTTAGGAAATAATTGAATCTTTTTTGAAAAATATTATTAAACATTTCTTAAAATTTAATTCTTTTATGAAATTTTATAAAATTGCATTAAAAATAATTGAATTATTTCGAAAAATATTATTAAAAAATGTTTTAAAATTGATTTCTTTCATAAAATGTTATTGAAATTGTATTAAAAATACTTTAATTTTTTGCAAAAAATTTTATTATTTATGTATAAAATCGAATTGTTTCGAAGGATTTATTAAAATTTTAGAAAATAATTGAATTCTTTTGAAATATTTTATAACGAATTAAGAAAAAAAATTGAATTCTATCGTGAAATGTTTATGAGGATAATTGAATTTTTGCAAAGATTTTATACGAATTCAGAAAAAAATCGAATTCTTTTTTGAAATTTTTTTGAAAATAATTAAATTTTTAGAAAGATTCTACTATTTAAAAAAATAATTGAATTGTTTCAAAGGATTCATTAAAATTTTAGAAAATAATTGTATTCGTTCGTGAAATATTCAAATTTTGTTTAAAAAGAATTGAATTTTTGCAAAAGATTTTACTATTTATAAAAATAATTGAATTCTTGCGAAGAATTTTATTAAAATTTTCGAAATTAATAAACAAGAATAATTAATTAGTAAATTAGTTAATAATTGAATTTTTTTAAAGTTTGGATATGAAATTATTCATAAATTTATATTTGAAAATAAATAATTTTGTAATTTGAATAATAATAAATTGAATATCACGTTCCGAGGGCTAGGGCCCATAATGTTTGCTAGTTTATAAGAATTTATAATAATTGTTCTTCTTAAATCACATATATTATATTAAAGTCTTTTTTAATAAATTCAGATTAGGAGAATCTAGTTTGCACGGATATGCTGACATTGCCAGAAGGGTCAAGTTCTTTAGCGGAAATGGACTGGGACCGTCTGCAGGAAGTTGTGATGAAGTTGTGCAACGAGACAGTGCGACAAGTGCAGGTGAAGATGAACCACACGAAGATGGTCCAAGTAGGACAGTTCAGGGTTCTTCTCAAAGTAGAGCAATGTTTCGACGACGAAGGCAATTTGACGCTCAAGGTACATTTTTAAATTTATTTCTTTTTGTTTCTTTTTTCCTATTTTCTTTCTTTCGTTTCTTTTCTCTTTCTTTTTTTCTTTCTGTTTCTTCTTTTCTGTTTTTTTTCTATTTCTCTTTTCAGTTTCTTTTTTCTATTTCTCTTTTCTGTTTCTTTTTTCTATTTCTCTTTTCTGTTTCTTTTTTTTTATTTCTTTTGCTAATTGGATGGGAAAAGTACTGATAAAAATTAATTAATTAAAACAACATATTCTAAAGTGGAGGAAATTCTGTTTATATTGCTTTATATAGAGAGAAAAAAATACGCTTTAATTGATAAGAGATAGCTACTACTGTTCACTGATGGTTTATCAAGAATCGATTTTATTAAACAATTATTGTAATGAAAAGTATTGTATGAAAGTGCCAGTTATAGAAAGATGTTGTTCGACAATTTGGTTCAGGTGCATTAGACTTGTGTATTGATTATAGAAACCATTCTTTGGCAGTAGAAACTTTTTGCAGTCTAATTATATTCAGTTGTGTTGTGTGCCGGTAAGAGATAACAATTTCTTGTGGGTGATTATTAGAATTTGGCGAATTTTTTCATCTCTAATTTTTCTATTGCATATTTTTTTTCCATTTGCTATTTTTATAGCAAAAATGGATGGCATAAGAATCTTACAACTTGGCACTACGTTTATTGTTGCTTTTTATTTTTTATTGTTCTATTCCGGAATCTGTGTTGTTTTCTACTTTTTATGGACAAATTGATAATACGATAGTGACATTACGATAAGCATTATGACTCAGGTAGATACTAATAATTAGCTTTTTGTGTATTTCTCATTTTTATTTTTGATGTTTTTATTTTTATTCTTCATCTTTATACTATTGTTCTATTTTTTTTTTATTTTTTTTTATTTTTTCACATATTTTGATTTCATTTTTTTCTACTTTACTCCGTATTTGTAATTTTTCCCCTTTCGTCATTTTTTATTTATTTACATTTCTTTATATTCTTAATATTATTTTTACTTAATCTTTATTATTTTTTAATTAAGTACGATTAAAAATTCAAAAGTATTTTTGTATAAACTCTCTTAGCTAATTGTAAAAATGTAAATTTTTACAATTAAAGATAATTGTAAATTTGTTTATTATCAACTATTTTTTTCTATTTTAATTAAGTCGGAATTATAATTTTATTAATTTTCTTTTTTAACCTTTTTTTCTGAATTAATTTTCAAACAAACAAGATGAAAATTAAATGTTTCATTTCGAGTTTAATATTGAAATCTCGCGATGAGAGGAAATATTCTGCTTATAGTGGATCCTTGAATTTTATGAGAAACTTGTGACTTTGCTCTTCATGTGGAAAATACAATAGTATAGGGGTAGATTGCTTGTAGTGGAACGAAATTAAAGCAATGGTGTCTATATGTACATATATATAGATACATATAATATGTAGTACAACAAGCGTTGTCTGTTTCGCTCCACAATCCGCTCACCTGCACACTATACTAGGTGGCGAGATAAGAATAAAAAGAACACTTGTCATAAAAGAGATAACGAGTAATTCTGAAACGCAAGGAAAAAACAGAAATTCTTAAATAGAATATATATGGGACTGAAAATAAAATCTAAAAATACTTCCAGTTTATTAATAATTTTGTAAAATTAACAATTTTGTTTATTTTTAAAATATACCTGCAATCACTGTAAGACGTTACATAATTTTTTTGACAATCGTTAAGATAATTTTTTAATCTTTTTTTTTTTTAATTTTTTACATTGAAATTAAAAATTTTTAATTTAAAATATTTAATTTTGATATTTATTCTTCATTGCAAGTAATAAATAAATTAGTGTGGTGAACTACAATTAAATAAATTAACTTCTCATTTAGTACATAATTGATTATTATTATTGCTTATTTTTTCGAAAATTTAAATAAAATTCTTCGGAAGAATTCAATTATTTTTATAAATAAAAACATTCTTCGGAAGAATTTAATTATTTTTATAAATAGTAAAATTTTTTTATTACAGGACAAGAAATCCAGACCGAAAAATCCAAGGAAAAAAGTCCAAAGTACAAAAAATCCAAAATAAATAATGAAACATGTGAAAAAGCCACGTTTTTATACTTTTTAGTTTTTACGCTTCAAAATTTTACATAAATAATAAAATTCTTCAGAAAAATTCAATTATTTTCAGAAGTAAAAAAATGTTTCACAAAAATTCAATTATTTTCAAAAATAAAAAAATTTCTAAAAAAATTTCAATTATTCTATAAAATTTTTAAAACAATTATTCCAAAAAATACAATTATTTTCAACAATTTTGATAAAATTCTTTACAAAAATTCAATTATTTTTTTCAATATAATTCCAATTAAATTACTCTATTAATTTAATTGATTCACAGTCATCGAAATGAGCATCTTAAAAAAAGGACAATTTCATTCAAGACAACCATTTTAATTTTTATATCTCAATTTTTTTCTTTGGATTTTTAATTTCTCAAGACTTTTTGACCAGGTTAAAAAATCCAACAAATAAGTCCAAAGTGAAACTGCTTTTTTTTACTTTTTTGGATTTCATTTACTTTGGATTTTTTGGTTTGGACTTTTTGTTTTGGACTTCTTGTCTGGATACCAAATTCTTTACAAGAATTTAATTATTTTCAAGTCAATTTCAATAAAATTTCACAAAATATATAAAATAAAACAATTTTTTTAAAAAATTGTGAGCAAAATTTCAGGAAATACTTCAATTATTTTTTAAAATTTCAATAAATACTTCAAAACGATTCAATTACCTATTTTTATAAATATTAAATTTCTTTGCAGGAATTTTTATTTTTAATTATTTTTAATAAAACTTCATTAAAAGATTCAAATATTTTTTAAATTTTCAATAAAATTTTTCAAAAAAATACAATTATTTAGTAAAATTCTTGCAAAAATTCATTTTTTTCAATTCAATTTTAAAAAAATTCTATAATAAAACTTTCAATTATAATTATTAACAGACACGATTATTTTAAAATGTGGAGAAAAATTCTTTGTTGAATTCAATTATTTTCAAAATTTTCAATTAAGATTATTTTTAAAAAATTACATTATTTTTTAAAAAACTTACAAAAATTCTTCCAAAGAATTTAATTATTTTCTAAAAATTATAATAAAATTCCATAATCAAATGTTTAATTACAATTATTAACAAACACGATTATTTAAAAAAAAACTTTAATGAAATTCTTCATAATATTCAATTACTTTAAAAATTTTCAATTAAAATTATTAAAGAAATTCTATTATTTAGAAAAAAATTCAAAAAAATTCTTCAGAAGAATTTAATTAGAATTTTCAATAATTTTAATAAAATTCTTTGCGAGAATTCAATTATTTTCATAAATATTAAAATTCTTGGAAGGAATTATTGAATTATTTTCAAATTGTTTGAGAAAATTGTTTGCAAGAATTCAATCATTTTCAATACATGAATTTTAAAATTGAAAACTTTTTAAAAGAAAAATTATTTAAAAAGTTTGGAAACAACAAAATCTTCAAATTTTTAATTTATTTATGTTTATTTATTTTTATTTATTTATTTATACTTATTTATTTTCATTTGGTTTTATTTATTTTTCTTTATTTTTATTTGCTTATTAAGCAGTAAATATTGTTTTTTAATTACTCGTCGTTCTTAATTCTCGTTTCAAAAATTAAATAAAGTTTCAAACTTATTCAGTTTTCGTCTGTTCTCGTCGTTCGCCTTCCTCAGAACATTTATTCTTTTAGTACCGTCCTTCGCATCCTGAATAAATAGTTGACTGCGTAGTGGTGCAATTACAAACATTCCTTTAGGATGCTGGAATTCTATCGTAGGAACACCTTGTGAAATTCAGGGAATTAAAAAAGATTTGTACTACATTTTCCTTCGTTCTCATTTACCTTTTTCATTGAAATTACAAAATTTTTTCTATTTTTAGAAGACGAATTTTAAATAATTGTTTATTTAATTTTTTTCGCTATACTATTAAAATTATAACATAAATTTTATTGTAATTTTTTTATATTTATTGAAATTATAATAAAATTTAAATTATAATAAAATTTTAATTATAATATATTTACTTAATTGAAGTTTAGCTACTAAAATAAAAATAAAACAGAAAAATTCAAATACTTTGAATATTATTCGTAGGAAAAAAAATAAATTTAATTTATTGGCCTAGTTTATACGCAGAGAGAAAAATAATTAAAGACACTAATTGGCAGGAGCTATTGATTCGTTGACATCATTTTAGGTTGATTATTTCAAGCCAAATGATCTAATAGATTGCAATATTAGCAATATTAACGTAATTAATAGCGTAATTCTTATTTTAATTTTATTTTCTTTATACAGAAATCTAAAAGGTTGAAAATGAAAATTTTTATTATGGCAAAAAAAAACCATCGATGTAGTTACATATGATCGCGTGAGTCTCGTAATAATTGTTAGTTTTTCGGAATTAAAGAATAGGAAATTGAGGGAACTTGAATATATATATATATAGAAATCTTTGTGGAGTGAATTGGCAAGAAAGGGAAAGAAAAAAATAAAGTAACGTAACGATATATTTTTTTTTCTTTTTGCTCAACTCTTTGTTAGGCAATGCTATGAGCCAAAATCGAAGTGGAACAGTTCCAAGTGGTCATATTCCGAGTCGCTATTCCCGCAGAGTTGCTTCATGCTTCGCCGCTTCCCACTGGCCACCTTGTACGTGGTTTTAATGCACTATACCGCTTTGGAAAATACTATAGATTGTGTTTCGTCGTTTCATAGTAACAACAACGACGCTACACAGGATTCAGGTGTGCCTCGTTGCATGAAGTAGAAACATCAACGTTCGTGTTTTAATGTCAGTGTACTTATAGAGGCCCACGCGAATTATTGTGGGCAGTTTTATACATATACAGACAATAGATCACAAATTTGCCAAGAAGTGACAGTGGAAAAAAAAAATCTCCCATCTTGGTAGGATATAGAAAATCCTTTATATGAGAATATATAAAACCGGCTTCTCAGTCTTTTTCACGCGATTTCAGCGAGACGATGTATTTTTTGAACTGAGAATTTGAGAAAAATAATTAATGAACAAAGTAATTATTTTTTTTTGAATTTTTCCAGTAATTATTTTTATTTATTAATCGAGCAATTTTGTTAGGTTTATTCAATTTTTCTGTTCTTTCCCACTTTTCTTTGAATTTAGTTTTTTTCAAATTAAAAATTCGATTTTTAGCATTTTTGAATGAAAATTCATAGATCTGTTTGCATGTATTGCAAATTAAATTCTATTTGTATCAATTTTCAAAATTATGGCTTATTTTATAAAACAGACAATTTGAACGATCATTTGGTATAATAAAAGCGTGATCGATAAATTCAAATAGTGCTGAGTAAAAGTGGAAATATCGAATATAAGTTACAGTGATTTTAGGTAATGTGAGTGATAAAGTGCTGATTCATAAATTTAAAACTTATATTTTATTTTTTTCGATTTATACTTATCTATCGGATAATTGAATCTATGAGAGAGGCGAGAGAGAAATATAAATAATATTTCGATTAATATTCAATATTATATTGTATAGATCTGGGGAAAAATAAAGGTTATCGCTTTGCGATAAATTAATAAATTTCATTTTTTTTTATGCATCACCGTGTTTCTTGAGAGAGTGGAAAGTACCTTTTTAATGATTTTCCAAAACAAATCAATCTACCGTGAAATGTTTAAACACTTCACTGGGTGTGTTTTGCCTCTTTGTTCGTCCACAAAATTTTCGAGTTTCATAAATTTTTGACAAATGCTTTTTCAGAACAAAAATTTATTTCTTATTCTTTGTCTTTTTTGTTTTCCATCAAGAATTTTAATTATTTCCATAGAAATAAAAATTTAATTTAATATTTTCCAAAATAAAAAAATTTTTCAATTTTTTATTAATATAAAATACTACAAATTTTTTTCAGTAAAAAAAGTATTAAAGTGAAACTGAATATTGAAATTAAAATTTTAATAAATGTTTTATGTAAATTAGAATATTGTGTAATTTAATTTCTTTTTGTAATATAAAAATGTTTAATAACAGAAAATTTGAATATTTACTGCGTAGATTTCTAAATTAGATTTCAAATAGAAATACAAAAGAAAAAAAGGTGTATTTGGAACCATTGATATTGTAATTATTTTTTTATCAGAATTTTATTTTTTGTGCTCTTTTGTGAAAAAAAACAGTATATGGTAGTCTCAAAGTCTTTATACAACTTAGCTCATGCCAGTGACCAGATAATTCATTAGCGCGTAAAAGCTATAGTAACTGACGCGAAGCCCCTTTTAAAATTGTTTTTGTACTTTATTCTTTTTTTCTTTACTCGAATCCGTGAGCATTTTCCTTCCATAGACTGAAAAAAATTTAATTCAATTAAAGAATAACATTTTTTTCGTTTTAATGTCAATTAGTCGCTTTATTATGAAATTAGTTAATTTCTCAATTATTTGAAACTCGATTATTATTGTATAATTAATTTTTGATTATAAAAATTAATTAATTTTTTTTAATTAACAAAATTTATATTATTTCTAACCAAAATTCGTTCGTAAATGTAAAAATGCAAAAAAAGAATACAGAAGAGAAGAAAAAAGTAATAGAAATAAAAATAGAATTAATATTAATTATAATAAGAAATTATTTTTAATAAAATAATATCAAAAATTGATGAATGGCATTTTTTCCAGGATCACGACGCAGAGGACGATCGCATGCGAGGACTTGTTGTGGTGATGAATTGCAGAATCTTCAAACATTACATGTGATTGGTCGAAGTGGGGGGCGACAAGCGAGCCCCCCTGGGACAAATTGCACCCAAGGACAATCTTCGGCTCATTCGCAATCACACGTCCAGGATTCACCGAATGTCGATTATAGGCGTTTAGTTTTTATCAGTTCCGATTCCTCGTCAGGACGTGAAGAGGATGACGCTGACAGTAGTTGTTCCGGTTCGTCTTATTTAAATGGAATACCGCACGGCAGTCATGCGCAAGGATTAGAAGACTGCGATTGGGATTATTTCGAGAGTGGCACACTACCATTGCCATCAGGAATCCCCCTAGCCATTAATATCAATAATTTAGAAACTGATACTACAGTCTCGAGTCACTGGAGCTGTTGTCCTGGTCGAGGATCGTCTTCGTGTCAGGTATTTATTTCTTCTTCAATTTTTAATTTCTTTAATTAAAATTAATTTAATTCCGAGTCAACTGGACTCGGATTAATCGTTCATCTCAATGTTTCTAAATTAACTATCTTTGCGAATAATAAATTTTTTTTTGAGAAATTCAATTATTTTCAATACAATTTTAGTAAAAAATTCAATTACTTTCAAAATTTTCAGGATTTTCAGTAAAAATTATTGACAAAAACTTCATTATTTTTAAGAAAATTGCAATAAATTCTTCAAAACAATTTAATTATTTTAAAGAATGTTAAAAATCTGACCAAGAATTAAATTATTTTCAATACAATTTTAATAACATTTTCTCGAAAGAATTCAATTATTATTGAAAAAAATGTTGATAAAATTCTTAAAATGAATTCAATTATTTTCAAATTTTTTTATAAATACTTTACAAGAATTCAATGATTTTTAGTACATCGACAATTTAATTGTTTCTGAAAATAATTGAATTCTTGAATAGAATTTTATTAAAACTTTTTTAAATAATTGAATTCCTGCGAAAAAATTTATTATTTCTACAAATAATTCAATTTTTGCAAAATTCTAAAAAATAATTTAATTTTTGAGAAGAATTTTATTACAATTGTATTTAAAATAATTTAATTTCTGTGAAAAATTTTCTATTTATTGATATTATTGAATTCTTTCGAAGAATTTTAAAGAAATGTTTAAAAATAATTTAATTTTTCCTGGAATTAAATTAAAATTGTATTTAAAATAATTTAATTCCAGCGAAAATTTCATTATTTTTAAAAATAATTGAATTCTTGAATTGAACTTTATTAAAACTTTTTTAAATAATTGAACTCTTGTGAAAAATTGAATTATTTTTTAAAATAATTCAATTTTCTCGGAGAGTTTTTACAAGATTTAAAAAAATAATTGAAATTTTTGAAAAATCAATTAAAATGTTATTGAAAATAAAATTAAATCCTGATAAGAATTTTATTATTTATATAAAAATAATTGAGGGCTCGGATCGAAGAACCGACGCTTCGCAATGTTTTGTGCGTTTACAAGCGTCGGTTCTTCGATCCGAGCCCTCAATTGAATTTTTTACGAAGATTTTTATTATTTATAAATTGACTAAAGAATTTTACTACAATTACTGAAAATAATTGAATTCTTCATAAAATTAAATTATTTTCAAAGTTTGTCATAAATACTTTACAAGAATTCAATAATTTTCTGTACATTAATTGAAAAATTTTAAACATTTAAATAGAAAAATTAGTAAAAAAAAGTTAGGAAACAAAAAAGCAAACAATAACTAACTTCAAACTGCGAACAGATTACCGGAATACAACGATTATTAATATAGAAGATTAAGACAATCGAGTGATAAAATCAAATATTTATTTAAATTTTTTTATTTTTTTATTCTTTATTCAAGAGAATAAATAACAATTTTCCTTTTAGAAAATCTCTTTTTTCTTTAAAAGAATTGAAAAGAAATGAAAAATCGTAAAGTTATAATTATTATAATTTGGTCTTTATTTATCAGGCTTGTGGAGGATCGCAAGGAGCGAATGTCCTTCCGGTTCCAGTGCCAATTCCAGTTCCGGTGCCGTATCCAGTTCCAGTGCCGGCGGCCCTTTGGAATAGTGATTTAGCGGCGGCATCGTCAATGATAACTCGCGACTCAACATTCGAGGGAAGTTTACGACTAAGAGGCGATCCATCGGCACCTTGGTTCGCTTGGCATCCGAGATTTAATCAACCACTACACGGGAATCGTTTAGAACCTCGATTAACCACCTTCGATCCAGTTGCTTTTGGTTTTCGGCCCGAGCAAGTCTCACAAAGATTTTTCGGTCCCGAATCAACATCATCAGCGTCATCATCGTCAATTCTTCCATTCCCACCGGTAATCGATGAAGATCCCAAGACCAGTGAATTAAAGGCTAGTGCATCACCTGAGAAGAAATGTGAAGATTCCTCCACATTGACAGTGGAGGAATTATCAAAAGAATGTTCAGTTGCGCATGACGAACAAGCTGATGATATTTCATTTAAAAACGAATCGCGAAATCAAAGAATGTATCGACATTCGCGTGGTAATTCCGGAAGTTCATCCGGTCGTTCATCGGCCGACAGTAGTGATCTTGAAGATTCAGCTTCGCATCGTTTCTCGCGAGTGTTTGTCATTAATGACGATTCGTTGACAAGTGACAATGACATTGAGGACAATGAGGATTCGGATTCAGCGCGTGAGGGTGGTATAACTTTGAAAAAAGTCACCGCTCTCACGGAAGATGAGCCCGTTATTCTTCGTTGTGTCCGTCTATTGAATGAAGATACGGAAAAAAATGATGACGACACCGACAATAAAGTTCCCAGTCCTCTAGATCCTTTACTCGATGATATAATATCAAACGATGATAATTATTGGCTCACAAAGGATAATAACGCAAAGCAGGAAATTTTTTCCGATGTCAATGAAATTTACGTGGCCGACTCGAAAGATTCACTCGACTGTCGAATCGAATTGAAATCAATTAAAACTCTAGATCCAGAGAATTATGAGTTTAAAAATCAAGAGGTGAATCACGATAATTTAATGGTAGGAGAACTGTCAAGTCATGATGATGATGACGATGAGGAAAGTACTGATGATGAAGAAGAAAAAAATTATTACGAAATAAAGGAGGACACAGACTCGGTATTGATTCCCGATTCCCTTGAGATGATAACGGAAAAATTGGACAGCATTAAATTGAATGAGTTCCAAGCTTCGACGCCCATCAATGATAAGAGTCGAACGAAAGAAATCGAGAGTTCACGCGACGCGGCAACGAATCCGGGTCAGAAACCTCGAGAGGATTCGAGCGTGAGTTCAATAACGGATAGCTCAACGAGCGAGACCAACACCACAGGAAGTGAGGTGAGCAGCGATGAATTACACGAGTACGAAGTAACGCCAGTGCGTTTTGCATTTGGCGATAATAGTCGTTCAATTCCGCCTGTTCTTCGTAGGATAAATAGTGAGAATTTAAAATTGTCGAAACTTGTTCGAGAAGGGAAGGATGATGGAAAGGAGAAAGAGGGGAAAAAATTGGATGATCGAAGGGTGAATGATATAATAAGTGGAAAAATAGAGGAAATATTTAAGAGTTCTAAGTCTGATGATGATAATGATTTTGATGAAAATGATGAGAGAATAGACCCTGTCGCGATATCGGTGACGCATGACGAAAGACAACAGCGAGTGAGAGGTAAGTTGGCAGGCGCACGGCAGGTGGGAGATGAGGATAGTGGGGGTGCAGCTGGAATCGAGCGGAGAACAGCGCGGTGTTATTCAGTTGAGCGACTCCCGCCCACTCGGTCGACGACGACGGAGAATGGCTTCCCGTCGTCAACAACAGCTCGCGAACTACAAAACTTTCCCTCGAATAATAAATACAAGAGTCTCGTGATGATCACACAGGGAGCTTATCAACCAGTTAGTGTTATAACATCGGACACGACGACACTCCTTCAGCCGGACGATGTTACACCTGTGACGGGCCAGGGCTTGGCCGGCTATTTCCAGCTGGCGCTGGAGGCTGTGACCGAGCCGCGACGTACCAATGGCCAGGGACCGCGGAAACCTCTCATGGTGAAACGTCTCATGACACAACAGTCCGATGTCGAAGTCGACAGTGGTTTAAGTGTTGGTAGTGCGAGTGAGAGCGAGGACGTGCAATCAGTGAAAAGTGCCGTGAAATCATCGCTTCAAGTGACAAATTTATCAACGCGAAATAATGATGAAAAGGAATCACCGAGAGTAAGGAGTTTTAATTCAAGTGATGATGGTTCAGTGTCCGGGGTTGTTATCCTCGAGGAGGGACTCGCAGACGATGATTCTTGGGTTGAGGAAGTGTCACATGATGAGGATGAGCAGAGTGCAACAACCGCGACTGAAGAAAGTTCCGAGGATGAGGCGAATAATTTAGGTGATCGTGAGGAAGAATTGAGAGGTTATCATCGACAGGCGATCGATTTTACGCTACATACAATTGTCGAAGAATCATGTGAGGAGAGTGAGGCTGAGCCAAATTTCGTCTCTAATCACAAAAAGCAAAGACCACCCTCCGCTTCCGAATTGGAGAAATATTTCTTCTTCGGCCTCGGTGGCGATGGGAATATAAGTTGTGGTTCTCGAGAAGTTGACAGTCTGTCCGAAACCTCGTCAATTCATTCCGAAGGTCTCGAATCCCTGGGCCAAGAGGAGGCAATCGAAAAATCCGGCGAGTCACTGAATTCCTCAAGACTCGAGAAATACTTTCTATCCGAATTTCTCGGTTTCAATCAAGATCGTCGTGATTCTGACGGATCGGTTGGCAGCGATTCGGAGGGACGACCAAGTCCCGAAGCTCAAAGAAGAAAACGATTGGTACGAGCACGTGGAACCGGAAGATCCCACAGTTCATCGCTCGACAATCTCTTGGCACTAACACAAAACCCCCAAAATCCAAGTTCGCAAAATTCCCTCCAGGACTTGAGCCTAAATCAAGATGGTCAGGACTCACAATCTGAAGGTTCATCAACAGAAACCGATGTCGCCGAGGAGAATCAAACACCAGCCTTCGGTACCGATGGTCAATTCGACACTGTCAAGAGAAAGAAAAAGAAACCCAGAAATCTCGGTACTCAAAGTCCCCGAGTTTCCGAAGATAGAAACAAAACACCTGAACCCCGGGATATGACAGACGTTCCCGAAGACGAGGAGGCTATAAATTCCGATGATGATCGTGCAAAGACCCCACAACCCGACAATGCTCATTTATCCACCTATCTCGATAGTTCAAGAATCCAGCCAAATTCAACAGAATCAAGAACAAAACAACAGTCCCGAGATTCCGGTTTCGTCGGAAGTTGTGACGATCTTCTCCAACATCAGAAATCGCCCACCGATTCCCAAACACCGGAAATTAATCCAACATCCAAAGATCGAAGACTCGACGAAACTCACCGAATTCAAAAATTAAATGTTCCTAAAGTTGATCAGAACCTCCCGCCCGTGGCGAATGCCTCCCTGTCACGAAAAGACAGTTTCAACAATTGGTCAAGCGACGAGGAAACGAATCTCATGATGTCAAAAATGCGCCAATTCTTCAAGACAATGGTCGCAAATTCAAATTCAACGAGTGGTAATGTCTCGAGTGGCGCGTCACCGGCCCCAAGTCCACGACTATCGGGTTACACGTCAAAAATTCGACACTGTTCGCAAAATCGTACAAAACCACCGCAATTGGTCTATTTTGAGAATGAATTGACAAGACTGATGAAGACTGTGCCTGGAATCAGGGACGAGCAGGTGAGAGAGATTGTTGAGTATCTAAGTTCGGAAGACACGTGGTCTGATTCTTATGACAGTTCAGATTACACGAGTTCTGATCTTGAAGGCGCTGCCGGTGGACGTCGCTCGGCTCTACAGGAACAAATCTCCCAAAGTTGTCAACAGATCATCAGTAAATTCGACACAACATCAAGAGATCCATTCGAGAAAGATAAGAGCGATAAATTACCCACAAATCAACAGTGTCTAGGAAGAGACACCGCGTTTGTTTATCAAAAACTCGTGCAGAGTTTTACGAAAATGGCCGGTGATACGAGTTCTGACGCGAGTTCAACACCGCACAGTAGTCCGCCACTGATTGCAAAAGTGATGCATCACATTGGAAGTCGTTTGGTTGCGTTGATGCACGAGGTGTCGGAGGGAGGATCAACAGTTCAGCCACACGCCTCGTGGAGACGTTATTCACAGCATCATCGAACACCATCGTCGGCGTCGACAACTGAGGATGATGATTCAACATCGGACTCGACAAATCCATCGTCGACAACACAATTGCCACGTTCCAAGTCTCACGATCCATTATTGTTGATTAATGGACATCCAAATCCGAATGCTGGACAGGAGGGTGAGGAGAGGGAGGCGAGTGATTATGAGAGATTCTCGTGGAGAGGTAGTTTTGAGTCGGCATTAATGGCTGCTGATTCGAGGACAAAATTAAGTTTATTAGCTTGCTCGGGTGATGTTAGCGCGAGTGCAAGTGCAAGTGCATTGGCAATGGCTGCAAAACGACGAAGTGCAGGCGATTTGTTGTTTAATCCAAAAAGTTTCTCGAGAGAGCAACTCGATCGTGTGAGAAGTTGTGGATCAATTGGCGGAGGTACTGGTGGTGTTGCGGGAGTTTGCAGCGGTTCCATTGAGGAGAAAATCTGGAGCAACAGGAGAAGATCGTCGGTTCCGGATGCCAATACTAGAGGAGAATCTGGTACAATACTTTTTGATTTCTAGACTTTTTTTTAATCTAAATATTTATTCAATACTGTAATTAAATTTTTTTCCGCATTTCACACAGGTTTTTTTGATTTTATTAAAATTTTTCTCATCATTTAACATTTTTCGATCAGACAATTAATATTTTCATTGAATAATTAATAGATCATCAAGGTCAGGGAAAACAGGAAAGTCAGGAAAAATAGGGAAATCGTGAAATTATATCAATAGAAAAAAAAATTAGATTTCCAGAATTACTACAATAATTCCGTTTTTCCTCTCTTAAAAACCTTTTTAAAAAACTTAATATTCTTAAACTCGCCTTAAATTTTTTTTTACCTTAAAAACGTTAAATATTTATTTAAGAAATTATTTGAGTTTCAAACAATTTTATTTAAAAATCCGAAAAAATCTGCTTTCTGAGAAATTTAAATTTAATTGTCCCGATAATCTTTGAAATAAAAAAAATTGTTCTCAAAAATGTTGATAAAATTCTTTAAAACGATTCAATTATTTTCAAAAATTTTAAGAAAAATTTTCTCAAGAATTCAATTATTTTTACAAATGATGAAATTCTTCGCTCAAATTCAATTCATTTCAATATCTAATATTTTAATAAACTTTCACAAAAGAATATTCAATTTAAAAAAATTTATAAACAAAAATCCAAAAATTAAAATATAAAGCAAAAATGAAATAATTTTAATAAAATTGACAGAGGAATTCAATTTTTTAAAATGCAATTTTTATAAAATTTTTCGAAAAAAAACCAATATTTTTTTAATAATGTTAATATAAATAAACTATTTTCAAAATTTTTAATAAATAATTCTTCAAAAATATTAAATTATTCGTAAAAATTTTAATAAAATTCTTCGTAAGAAATCAATTATTTTCAAAAATAATAGAATTTTTCACAAAAATTCAATTATTTCTAAAAAATAATAAAATTTTTCACAGAAATTCAATTATTTCAAAAAAATAATAAAATTCGTTTCATGCATTCAATATTATTTTTATAAATAATAAAATTTGCACAAAATTTTAATTATTTAAAATCCAATTTTATAAAATTTTTTGAAAAAATCAATTATTTTTAATAATGTTAATAAAATTTTATTTATAAGAATTCAATTATTTTCAATTAAATTGTAATTAAATTTATCAAAAATATTCAATTATTTTCAAAAATAATAAAATTTTTCACAGAAATTCAATTATTTCAACAAAATAATAAAATTCGATGCAAGAATTCAATTTTTTTCATAATTATTAAAATTGTTTGATGGATTAAAATTATTTTTGTTAAGTATTTAAATATTTTTGAAAGATTTAATTTCAAAATTGAGAAAAAATTACATAGTCTTTTGACAAATTGTTATTAGAATTTTTTGAAGATAGTTTAAATTTCCGTAAATAATTTAAAAAGACTAAATTTAATTTACAATTAATTACAATTTTATATTTTAAAGAATTTTGATTCTATATAAAGTTATTTTAAAATAAATCCTATTTTTGAAAAATCCAACTTAGAATTTGGAAAAAGATCATTTTTTCTTTTTTTTAAAATTAATTATCGAGTGGGAAGCCTGGTATTATAAAATTAATAAACATTTTGTGAAATTGAATTGAAAATAATTAAATTTGGTTAAAAATTTAATTAGTTATTTTTCAAAAATTGAACTTTTAATTAATTTTATTTTAATAATAATTGGAAAATAATTGAATTTTTTTTTATTTACTTAATTTTGTAAAGAGTAAAAGTAATCGAAATTTTTTTAAATAATTGCAATTTTCAAGAATTCGGTTAAAAATAATTCAATTTTTTAATAATTTTACCGAAATTGTTGGTTTTTGATAGACATTTTAAAAAATTGTTTTATTTTTAAAATTCGCTTCTAGAAATTAGTTTTTTCATTATTAAAGTTTCCTTGAAAATTCTGTTTTAAAAAGATTAGAAAGAAATTTAAAATTCTCCCTCGAGATCAGGGAAAAACGATATCATATTTTTCCACAGCAACCTAGATTATTAAAAGTGGTAAAAATAGTCAAGCAAAAGTTTTACTCTTAAAACCTGTTTTCCTCGAAAAGTTGATTGAAAAAATGAATATAACAAATAAGGTTTTACGGCAATTATGATATGAAAATAAATTCCACATATTTTGTTCTAGCTGATTAAATCTTTCGGATAAATTGAGATTGAAACTGTCTTTAAAAGTACAATATGAATAGTGTATGCTTATATTAATAATAATAATAATAATAATAATAATAATAATACTAAGGCAATATTTATAATAAATGAGGTCTCTAATAAATTACTCAAAAAGTTTTATATCGTGCGACTCGAGAAGAGAAAAATGGGAGAATATTAATCAAAGTGTTGCATAGGTTCAAATTTAATTACTCACCTGAAAAATTCTCTCTTACACATATAATTAGAATGTATCTATAATATTATGAATGGATTTAATTACACTTACATCTTGTTATCATTAATTATAAAATTATTAGCTGCTTTTTATAAAGTCCACTCACTCGTTTCAATTAACATAGATATTCATATTAAATATTCATTTTAGAAATTAGCGAAGAAAGTTTAGAATATTCAAAAAATTTTCCTCATGCCAATTATTGTTTACTTTATTAAAAGAGATAATAATGTCAATAATTAGAAATCTTTTAACCAGAAAATATTTTTAAAAAATAGTAGTAATTACAAACAGAAATTAAAATTTCTTAGTGACAATTTTATTGAAGGAAAAATTGAAGAACAGAATTTTTTTTATATCTGAAATAATTAATATTGTGTGAAATAATTTGAGGAATTTAATTAATATTCTTGTGTAAATTTCAGGAGCATCGGCGGGTGATGAGGATACTGAGGATGAATTGGAGTATGGTGGTGATCCGAGAGCTACGACATTGCCGAGGGGAATGCAACCTGCGGCATCGGCAACGGCAGCAACGAATTCTCTACCTCGTTTACCGGCCTCGACAATTTCAGTGGGGCAAACGTCGAATTCACCAATGCACAAGGCACACAGTGTTTATCATTTTCTACCACAGCACACGGGTGTTAAATCAGCGAGATATCGACCACCTGGTTTTGCAAGGAATAGTGGTGCTTCTGGACCAAAACGAGCAGTTAGCGCACCGGGACTTCAACTCACCGGCTCGCAGGTATCATCAGCGAAACGCGAGAATCGATCCAGGCGACAGCAAACCATCTCTATAAACAGTGGTGAGAGAAATCATTTATTTAGTTTAATTAGCGAAAATATATCATTTTTCGAAAACTTGATAAATGAACGAAATTTTTTTTTCTTTCTTTCAAGAATAGGAAAAAAAATATTTGAACGATTAAAAAATTATAGGATTATTATCTACAATAACGGTGAAAAATTACTATTTTCATTAGTTTATTAGACACGTGAGAGAAATTCAAAATGGATATGATTATCCCACGCACGATTGATTGAACGGTTTTTTTTTTGTAGGAAATTAGCAAAAAAAAAAAAAAAAAAAAAATTGGCACGACAAGTGAGATTTGGTCGACGATAATGTTCCCTTGGAAGATTTTCATTTTCTCTTTTGTATTCAGCATAAGTATAGAAAGTAAGTTGCATTTGAAAGCACAGAGATTATCTTGTTTAACAGTTAAATCATCCTACTTAAGAATTATCTTTCCGCGGTTTTATTATTCTTGACGAGGAGAATCAATAAAACCGCGTGTATAAAGATATCCGTGTGTCGTGAGCACGCGCTTACCTATTTAATCGCACGTGTTCATTTCTCATGTGCTCGAAATTACGCGAAAAGTTTCAATGAACAGAATTCAATTTTTTTCACGCATTTACATATTTTTAATTATGAAAAAAATATTTTAATACAAATACAAATATTTTAAAAAAATATTCTTCAAAACAATTCATTTATTTTTATAAATAGTAAAATTCTTCGCAAAGAATTAAATTATTTTAATAGATAAATAATAAAAATCTTCTCAGGAATTCAATTATTTTCAATGGGTACAATTTTAATAAAATATCACGGAAAGGATTAAATTATCTTTTAGAAATTTGTCATAAAATTCTTCGCAAGAATTCAATTAATTCGTAAAATTTTAATAAATTCTTTGGAAACAATTCAATTATTTTTATAAATAGTAAAATTCTTCGCAAGAATTCAATTATTTTCATAAATAAAAACATTCTTCAGAAGAATTGAATTATTTTTATAAATAGTAAAAATTCTTTACAAGAAGTTCATTATTTTCAATGCAATTTTAATAAAATTTCACGAAAAAATTCAATTATTTTTTTAAATTTCAATAAATTCTTCAAAACAATTTAATTATTTTTATAATTAGTAAAATTCTTTACAAAAATTAAATTATTTTCATATATAAAAACACTCTTCAGAAGAATTTCATTATTTTCAATGCAATTTCAATAAAATTTCATAAAAAAATTCAATTATTTTTTTAAATTTCAATAACTTCTTAAAAACAATTAAATTATTTTTATAAATACTTAAATTCTTTACAAGAATTTCATTATTTTCAAAGCAATTTTAATAAAATTTCAGAAAAAAATTCAAATTATTTTTGAAAATTTCAATAAATTCTTCAAAAGAATTCAATTATTTTTATAAATATTAAAATTCTTTGCAAGAATTCAATTTTTTTCATAAATAAAAACATTCTTCAGAAGAATTCAATTACTTTTATAAAATATTAAAATTCTTTACAAGAATTTCATTATTTTCAATGCAATTTTTAAAAAATTCAATAATCTAATATTTAATTATAATTATTAACAAACACGGTTATTTTAAAAAACTTGAATGAAATTCTGCATAAAATTCAATTACTTTAAAAATTTTTAATTAAATTTATTAAAAAAAACTCCATTATTTGAAGAAAAAATTAAAAGAAATTCTTGAAAAGAATTTATTTAAGGTTTTTAAAAAATTTAAATAAAATTTCTCGCAAATCTTCAATTATTTTCTTAAATCGTAAAATAAATTTTTATTTTATTTCGAAATTCGCAACTATATTGAAAAGGCGATTAATTGACGAATTCAGGGTGGCCGCTGGACCGGGAAACCGGGAAAACCGGGAAATGACAGTGAATTTTTTTGGACAGGGAAAAACCGGGAAATGACAGTGAATTTTGATCTTGACCGGGATTTTGGAATTTTTTTTTTAAAAACACACATTACTTTGTGAGAAAAAATAGAAATATTTATTTTAAGACTTAGGTATTAACTATATTTCATTAAAAAAGATTGAATGATCTTCTATAAAATCTATTTATATTTTGTCAAAGAATTTTATAAAAAGTACTATAAAAATATTCAATTTCTAGAATTTATAAGAAAATTATGAATTTTGTTGTCCAACGTAACAGACTTAAAAAAAGAAAATATTAAATTTAATTTTAAATTCTTTCTATTTCTAACATTAATTAAACAAAATATAATTTTAATTAAATTTGTCAAAAAAATTTCAAAGAGAAAAAATTTCACATCCTATAAAATAATGAAAAATAAATCAATTTAAAAATTTTTTGCAATTAATATTATAACCAAACAAATAAGAATTATTAAAAATTTGAACTAATTAGAACAAAAGTGATACGAAATTTATAAAAATGAATTTTTGAATAACAAATAAAGTAAATAAAAATAAATAAAATTTCTTTTCTTAGAAAATAAATTTTAAAAAACCGTATTTTTCATTAATATCAATTAGTTTTTTTACAATTATTCATAAGCAAATTTTTCGATTTTTTTGAATGTTAAATTAATATCATACTAATATTATTATAGATTGAATTTTAAAAAATTTCAAATTGAAGTTTTAGAAAAGTTGAATTTTAAAAGATTTTAATTAAAAATTTTGAATAATTTACTCTTTAAAAATATTTTTATTCACATTTTCTCAAATTAGTTATGTTTTTAAATATGTAATATTTAATTGAAAAATTTTCAAATTAATCAAAATTTCATGAAATTGTCTTGTAAACAAGTGGATTTTAGAAATATTTTAGTTATTTCTAGAATATAATTGAATTGAAATTTTGAAAATAATTTTTAATAAGTTGCAGTAGCAATTCTTAAAAATTATTCAAATTTAAAGGATTTGAAATTTGAATTTTTTTTTTTGAAATTTGAATACCTTCTATATGGAAAAATAATGGATAATAATTAAATATTTATTTCAAAAAATCTATTTAAGTTCAAAATTATTTTTAGAGTAAACTAAAATATTTTTAGGGTTTGGGAAAAAGTCAAAGTTTTGTCTAAAAATCAGGAAATTCTTTCAATCTTTCATGGAATAATTTATTTTCAGAGTTATTATTTATGATCGGGAAAAATAATTTATGACCGGGAATGGACCGGGAAATGACCGTGAATTTTTTTTTACAAAAAAAGTGGCCACCCTGCGAATTGGAAATTAATTTAAATAATTAGGTAGGTACTAATTTAGTAAAGTAAATAAATTAAAGAAATAAACGATATAATTAATAAAATATTTTTAAAAAATAAAATAAATATTTATTTAATGATCAGTAGGAAAAAACAATTCTTAAAGAAAATATTTTAAACATTTTAACATAATAATAAATAAAGTACCAAATAATAAACAAATATATATAATGAAAGAAATAATGAAACAAATATGTATAGTTTGAAAAAATTAGTTTATTTAAAAATTTATACAGAAATTTAGATTTTTATTTTATAATTGTTATTTATTACCATAAATAATTACATTGCAGATTTAATTATATATTAATGAGTTATTACCATCCAGTTAATTATATTTTGAATAAATTAATTAAACTTTCAATTGAAGATGAAATTTCAACGGTCTCGAGAGATAAGTCTCGCAACCAATAAAGAGCACGTGAATATGTTGAGAAACTTTTATTGTTTCCAGAATTTCAATAGATTTTTTTTAGTGATAATATTCTCTTAATTACGAAATGAAAAACAGTTATGTCACATTATTTCCAAAATAAATTTTCCTTCAATTCCTATTATATCAGATTTTAATTTCTAATCATTTCGGTAAATTAACGATGAAATAATTTCATTCGAATTAATAAAATCTAAATTATAATTAATCTAAACGAAAAACCGTCAAAACTGGATGATAAAATCTAAATAAAAACTGAGCTGTAAAACCTAAATTAAAAATAAATAATAAAATTGAAATGAAAACTTAATGATAAAATTTAAATAAAAACTAAATGATAAAATTTAAATAAAAACTAAGTTTATTTTAAAGTAGAGTACAAAAGACAAATTAATAAAAGATTGTAAATAAATAAACTAATCGTGAAAAAATAAACTAATAGGGAAAAAAATTAATAAATGTTTGCCATAGAAAACAAAGATTTTAATAATAATAATAATAATCAATAAATTAATTAATCGCTTTTTCCGATATAATGCAACGTGAATTTTCTGCATACTGAGATGAAAAATAGAGATATTTTCTTGCCAATCGAGTTCCACTGAGAGATTATCGATATTCTCCTTTAATTTCAAATCTACCAGCTTGCTTAAGTAAAATTACTCTCGTTTAATGATTTATCGATCCAATTTACTGGATTAATACGGTGATTATAATTTCATCATCCTTCTAAAACTCAATTACGATTCAAATTGTCCTGTTACGCGTTGTTGAAATTACAAGTTTCATTATTATCATTTTAGGCCGTGTGAAAAATGTATTCCTATTTTTTCTTTTTCTTTTTTTTTTGCTTTTCTAATTTTGTTGTGAGAAATAATATAAGGGACATTATTTGATTCCCACCCACGTTATGCTACAGTTAGAATGTTGACTTATGGGATGAATCATATTTTTTTCGCCTAGACTCGAAAAAATGAAATTTTATCTCCGAAGTCCTGAGACGATCAATAATCAGAGAAATGGGTGCGTCTATATGAAAAAGTTATGGCAAGAAGGGGAAAATTCTTTTGAATTTTTTTTTCTATATTTTGATTTGATATAGGAATTTTTATATAGAGTATTTTATATAGAGAAATTTTATTTCATTGATGTAAAATTAAATAGAAACAAAAATGTCAGTATTTTCTTTATTTGAAAAAAGGGGGATTAGAGTTTTTAACAATATAAAAATATTTATTCTTTGTACTCTTGTTGTTTATTTATTCAAATTATTCGAATCACGAACAAATCATTTCTCATGAAAATTATTTTTGCAA